GAGTGCCACATCCAAGCCTTCCTGGGACACCTCCAGGGCTGGGGACTCCAAACCTCCCTGGGCAGCCCCTGCCCATGCCTGACCACCCCTTCAGTGAAGAAATTCCTCCTGATGTCCGACCTGCCCCTCCCCTGGTGCAGCTTGAGGCCAGTTCTTCTTGTTTTCTATTTGTCTGGGAGAAAAGGCTGACCCCCACCTACAGCCTCTTGTCAGGGGGTTGTGGGGAGCAATAAAGTCTCCCCTGAACCTCCTTTTCTCCAGAGTGAACCCCCTCAGCTGCTCCTCACAGGACTGACTCTCCAGACCCTTCAGCAGCTTCACTGCCCTTCTCTGGACACGCTCCAGCCCCTCACAGGGATGGCTGAAGGTGCAATTAATCCTGCCCATGGATGAACAATGCCTAAAATACCTTTGTAACTCAGGAAAACAATTTCTAATGGACATCCTAGCGCTGTTCTGAGAGAGGGACTTCAAAACTGACTCCAAATACACGACGCTCTCCTGCCCATCTGCCCTCTGGACCCTCAGCCTCCTTGCCAACAGGATTTAAGAGCTCCCATATTGCACCTCCCAACACCCAAACCCAGGGGGTGTTAAAAAAGGGCCAGGCAGGGTGTGATCTCTGGCCCCAGGCTGGAGTTGGGTTGGCTCCTGTCCATAATCCTTGGGAAAACTGCTCCTGGAGCAGCTTGGCCACTCCTTCCCCCTCGGCAGTGCATCTGTTACAGCTCCCTGCCATCATAAATAATGATTATTATTTCCTCTGCATGTGTGTTCCTCGAGTTTTAAGTGTCTGTGACAATGTGACAACGTGAGAGACTGTGCTGCTGCCAGGAAAGGTGTTATTCCCACGGGATGAAACCGAGGGCTGGGATTACACCCAGGAGTTTGCTGGGATAGCACTGGGATGCTGGGATTGCAGGAGGAAGCCTCTCTTTTAACGTGCTTCTGCATGGCATCCTCGGAATTTTTGAAATTAGGTCTGTTTATTTTTGAAAAGTGAATAGGCACACAGTTCCAGTGCTTCTAAAAATGTGTTAAGGATTAATCCTGGTTTTCCTGGTGCCTTTGTGACTCTGGGCTGTGTAGTCAGGCAGATATTCTGGAATATTTTGCCTTCAGTGTCCACTAGGCCTTGATTTTCTGTTCCTTTTGTTTTGAACTCCCTTTTCTGCAGGTTCAAACTGAGCTGAAGAAACAGCTGTGCAAGTGGCAGTATCAGGAATACCTGACCTTCCCACACAAACAGGGCACTCTGTCCAGGGAAAACAGCCCTGTCAACTACGTCACTCAGCTGTCACTGCTGGAAAAAATCAGTCCAAAAAGGAAACCATCTGGGGCCCACAGTGGTGTAACCACTGTCTGAGGCTTTCTAGCTGTGGCATTGGGATGTGCCACCTGAGAGATGGTAAAATTGGAGCCTTTGGGCTTTCCAGAGTGTGAATTCTGTAAATTCCTTGTCCTGGACGTGAGCTGCTTTTCTCACCTGCTCCAGATTCATGTCCCAACCCCGACTCTCTCATTAAGTATCTAAAATTCACTTGTTTTGTTGTGAAAAGCCAGGCCTGGGGACAGTGGGAATCAACAGGTTAGCACTCCAAAAAATGCAGAAAGAACCTACAATAACTCTTCCCAGGCCCAACATGTTTGTCATGCCTTTGTCAGTGTTTCCCAAATGTTCCAATTTTCCAGTGCACTATTCCCTAACCTTCATTTGAAAGAGTTACTTGGTGGCCAAGCTTTGCCATAACGATTCCTGGTGGTGTTTTGAGACAGCTTGAGTCGGTTTAGTGGGAATTCAGCACAGAAACTTGCCAAGCACCACCAAGGGAATGGCAACCTCCTTTAAAAGGAATCTCAGGGTGTCTCCAGTGTCACAAAAAAACAGGTAGTTACAATATCTGCTTGGGTGTTTACATTCCATGCCTATTGAAAAGAGATTAAATTAGATCAGAGGATCCCAAACCCTTTCTTGTCCATGGGAAAACATGGATCAGCTGAATATTGGGCAGAGTATGGATGAAGTAAGACATGAAAGCAAACCCACTGCAGTGTCCAGCTGGGCTACCCTGAGCTCAGAATGACTTACAAACCTGCTGTGAGTGCTCAGATGCTGCTCTTTGTGAGCTGGAACAGACCTGTCACCACAACCCTGAAGATGAGCTGGATCCATCAGTGAAATACACAATTAAACTGTGATTTTTACCTGTTTTGGGGGACCTGCCTTAGAGGACTACACAGGTGTGGTAACTGTGATTGTCTCGGCGTTCCTCAGCTCGTTAGCACTCCACTCGCTGAGGTGCCAGGGGACAGAATTATCCACACAGCAGTGAGGTCCAGTGAGGCAAAGGATGGCCCAGTACAGCACAGAACCAGCGTTGTCCCTGCATCACTCCTTTGGGTCACCTTCCCCTTCCTTCAGGACTGAGCTGGACTCTGCCTCAACCTCTCCACAAGTGCAGAAAGGTACACAAGGTAGAGCTGCAGCTCCTTTGGAGACAGGATCATTCCCAGAGAACCTGGGAATTCCTGCTGGAGATCACAGCCATCCACGTCCTCCTGGCTCTCTGGGAGCTGCAGCATCAGTTTAGCTTAAAAAAATGAGTGTTCCAGCCCCTCAGTTTGCTCTGCTTTTGTTAATTATTTAGGTCAACAGATGTTTGACTCGTGGAAACCTCTCTGTTGGTTTTTAGCTGTTTCATCTCTAGTTCTGTTTAGTTAGAGCAGGGATGAATTGTCCAGGTTTCTATAAATGTGGTTGAAATGAGTTATTTATTAATTAGACATTTAACCCATCTGTCCCAATGAGTTGTGTGTTCTTTGTAAGGAGTAATTTTGTCTATTCTGATGATCAGAATCCTCATCAGTTTTACCTGTAAAACCTTTGCTCCTGTGTTGTTTCAATCTGTTGAAAAGCATTGTGATGAGAACCCATTTGTATGATGTACAGCTAGAAAATGCAAGTGATAATTGCAGTTTTGTGAGTTTGGAAATTTAATTTACGTCAGCTTGGGTGGTTCACTTGAGACTTCATTAAAAAAAAAAAAAAAAGGAAAAGTTTAATAATCCTCTTTTTGGGGTGTGTAAAAGTTTCATTGATAAAAGATTTTGTTCGGGCTGTGGAAAGGCTGCTGATCCCTCTGTGATAACAATCCTGAGGGGATGCTTCAGGGATGTTTTTCTCCATAAGGAAGGCAGCAAAAGGTTGTGCCAAGGCGGGCTTAGCAGTGCTGCGTGTTCTGTGAGGAGCCACTGCCCTCTCCTGGAGCTGGGGATGCTGCTGGCTCGTTTGGATGGGTGTGCTCCTGAAAGCCAGGAGTGCTCCAAAACACTGCCCCCTGCTCACACTGCAAGTATTCTTTTTTAAAATCTCTTTCCTAACTACAGGACAACCTGGAAAGATCAAAACCAGCTGTTTCAGCTGGTCAGTGTAACCAAAATTCCTCTCAGAGAGTAGAATTTTAACTCTGACAGTGCCACCTTTTCAGAAAGTTTGATTTTGTGGGCTCCAGATCAAAAGAAATCCTTCCAGCTGCCAACTTTTCCAACGCAGAGATTCCCCAGAGGCTGCCTAATGCACCCAGAGCAAGGATTATTGGGGTGTCTGAGTAAGATTTTTTTTCAGTTGGAGAAAATACAACTGAATCCAGGGCACTCTGCTCCTTGGTGTGTTGACAGACCTTGTAAATGAGATTTTCCTCATTTAAACCAGGCGTGTCTGTTTTTTGGAGTAAATTGCTGTAGTGTGGTGTTGTGCCTTTAGGATAGTGGGGACTTACAAAGGGCTTCTAGAGTGAGCTGAAATGCTTTTGGAGGTGCCTTTTCTTTCTCTGCCTCTTAAATATAAAATGGGCCTTAAAAAAGAAAAATCAGAGTAGATGTGACTTTTAGAAATTCAGCTTTTTCCAGATTCTGTGTCCTACGTTTGCTGATCTCCATGATCAGTGAGGTACTGGCTGATTCAGCCCTTCTGCACAGGGGGGAAAGGGGAGGCACGTCCTTAAAAGCCCTTGAAGAAGGGGCTGAGGCTGCTTTAGCTCACAGTGAACTCATGTAAAAGTGTATTTACAGGGATCTGAAGCACAGCAGAAAAGGGAAATCTATTTGTGTGCCCTGTCCCTCCCAACCCCCAACCTGCCCAAGCCTCTCTTTCAGCCCAGGTGCTGCCTCAGCAGGGCTGTAGGATGGGAATCTCCAACCTACCAGCCCTGGCTGCTCCCTGACACATTTCTAACCTAATTCTAAACTAAGTAAATGGGTGTCCACCAAAGGATGAGGATTCACAGATCAGGACTTTGGCTGAAAGATGAGGGAGGACACCAGTGGGAAGATGGAACTTGTGTGGGTATTCACAGAGCCACGAGGGACAGACAGAGCAGCTGAAGCAGAGGATGAAGATATCAGAAACAGGACATCTTCTGTGGAATCCTCTGTTTCAGTGCTGTGAATGCACCTGGTATTTTAAAATCGTTAAACTCCAATCTAATGATTAAACTCTTTAGGTTTGACTGTAAAAGAAATGAAGCCTTGGAAGCACCACGGGAGTTTTATAGAAACCAATCTTTTTTCACCCTTACCAGCTGACAAAGTCTTTGTTTGAGGACAACAGGATTATTTTTCTCCTGTTAAGATTCTTTAGAAATAATATTTAGGTCCCCAAGGGCCTGTGGATCCAAACTCAGAGGTACAGGGGGTCTTTGGTTGCATGGAGAGTGTGTTGCCTTTGTGTTGGTGTAATCAGACCCCAGTCATGTTTGATACTGGTTCAGGGTGCTAAAAACCTTTCTCATGTAACTCCACTGGTTGATGGGGAAGGAAGAGGGTTCATGGCCCATTAAAGGCAAAAACTTCACTCCTGGTTGGTCCAGGATTGACTTGGACCAGCAGAATCCACGGACTCCTCCTCATGGGGAAGGAAGCAAATTTCATCCCCCCCCAAAAAACCCCTCCATCCTGTTGCTTCAGGAAGAAGAAAACCCTGTAACTTCATGGACAAAAAGTTCTCTTTGGTGCAATTTTATATCAGAACAGACTTATACAAAATGATAATACATTTATTGTGTCATCTACAGCAGTATACATGTTAAAAACAATTTCTCAAAACACAAAAAAGGTTAGAAAGCAGCAATCGATATCTGTGTTTCCACCTCCTAACAAAGCTCAAGTTAAATCCCGTTACCAGTTAAACCAGTTTCGACCAAAATAAGGTCAGTATTAGACCCAACAGGCCAGTAACTTTGTACCTTGACACAGTCAAAAGCCAAAATACAGCTTTCCATCCAGTAACTTCTCCGAGCTAGAGCGTGTTTGCATTGCCACTAAACTGACAAGTAGAAGGGAGAGAGAATGAACACACCAGATATTTGTTTGTACAGGTTATACTGATACACAAAGGCCTCTTGAGACTTCTCTGCAAGCACAAAGTCCATTGGGAAAGGCATATGCAGAAGCCTAAGGAATTTGGGACACTGAAGAGTGTCATATCACACAGTGTCATATCACACAGTAATTCTTCACATGGATGAATTCCCCACAAGAAAGCCAATGGGAAATTGCAGTTTGAGTCGTAAGAAGGTGAAAAGACCACGAGGTTCAAGACATTGTTCAAGCTCTGCTGGTGTGTTTTCATACACAAAGTACAATGTGTATTTAGCTGAATTGAGCTCTTCAGCACAGATATACACGGAGCTGAACATCAGAGCATCCTTCACTGCAGCTGCACTCTCCACATCTTCCTCATTCGTCCTTTAAATGCAATTCTGAACTGGTTGCATGTTCCTGACTGCTGAAAGCAGGGGGTAAAATCCTAAATTTTCCCTTTTTCACTGCATGTGCACTATATACTATGGTTTGTTTCAGGACACAGAAGTGCTGGTCGTACAGACACAACCTGACAGTGAGAACAAGACCTCCTGAAAACTCTAATCAGGTGTTAACTCCTCCCTCAGATCTGGCTGCTGATACCCAACAGAAGCCACTCCCAAGCTTTTCAAAGCCGTTGTTTCTCAGCAGGCACACAACAGAACAGGAGTGAGCAGGCAAAGCTGCCAGGGAAAATCCATCTCTGTCCAGGCTTCCACAGTGTCAACATCTGTCTCCAGCACAACCATCTCGACCTCCTGGAGGAAAGAAACCCTTGCAAAGCGTGAATCACCTCCCTTTCCAGTGGACATCAAGAAAAAAATATGAGTTTTGACTTTTGTGCTCTGAAATTACTCTTTTCTCTCTTGTGGCTACAGAGGCCAAGGGGAGAAAGCAGATCAAGGGAAGACACCTCAGCTGTCGGTGTCCAAAGTGGAGTGGTGGGGGTGTCTCCTTGTCTGACTGCTCAGGGACACAAGATCTTACCCAGGACTTTAACTGTGGGCCAGACTCTCTAATGCTGAGAACACCCGAGGTTGAAAGGGACACACATCTAATATAGCCCTTGATATTTAACTCTAAAGAAAGAAAACTACTTTAAAACAAGTGTTTGGTTGGAAGTGAATCCCACTCAGGGAGTTCATCTGTGTCCTAGATATCCACACAGAGCTCAGAGATGGGGCCCAGGATCTCTAACAGACTCCAGTCCTGTCTGGCAGCTGGAGGTGTCCATAAATCCTGCTCTATCTGTCCTTCCTACTTGTCTTGCTTCCCTTCCTTGTCCTGCTGAGGAAACATTCACTGCTCTCATAATATCATCAATATTATGCAGTGATTATAAGCATAATATTGATAAAATAAGCACACATTTCTCTGGAATCTCTGCCCACACGAGAACAAACCTCAGAACAAAAGAGAATATCTTAATATCATGAAATGACGTTATCAAAGCAAGGAGGGAAATCTGATTTTATTGGGCTTTGTAGGGTTTGGATCTGTGGGAGCCTTTGCATAAAGAGATGTGAGATTGGAGCTCTTCAGGAGCCTCCCAAGCATCTATTGCTACACAGAAAAATGACCTTGTTTGCTTTAATCATCTCCCATGAACACCCTCTGGGAATGTGCTCTGAAGTCTCCACAGGCCCCAGGTTAAAAACCTCTGACATCGGCAATTGTTTCTGAAACCCTATTGAAAAATAATTTCAAATAACAAGGTAAATAAACCAAATTAAATTATTGAGGTTTCCATTTCTTTTATTGCCACTGTTTGCTAAAGTCACTCTAGATATATATATTTTTTTTTCTCTGACACTTAAATTTTTATATCTGATTTCTGTCAGGGCTGGGCTGGAAAAATAAAGTTGTGTATTTTTATGGTTTGCAGACCAAATTCAGTAGGGATTTAGCAGCCATGTCAGATACATGAGAGCTGAAACCTCCCAAACTGACACCATCAGTGTCTTTTAGCCCACTCGAATGATGATTTCTTGCAGTATTTTGACTGACTATGTGTCCTATCCTTCTGATAGGGATCAGCTTCTCTTGCAAGATCACAACTGAGAACAGAAAGGGAAAATATTGGAATTACTTTCCCTTTAGATCTGGCTGAATGAAAATTACTCAGAAAACAAATACCATTTATAGACTTTCAAGAACTGGAATTCTATCTCTTAGTTTTTATTTTTCCTTTCTTTTTTTTCCCCTCTCTTTTTTTCCCAGGATGCTGCTTCCAGGTAATTTTCCTACTATTCCACATGGATTCACACCTGTATTTGATTCCTTACATTATTTTTGCTGCCCAAATTTGGATTAGAACTGAAACAAATGCAGTTTAATAGCATGATTTTTTTTTTTTTAGTCTTATCTTTCAGCTGTATAACCAAAGACAAACTGCAGATTTCATCTGAAATAAAGCTGTTTATACCTCAGGAAGAGAGAGAGAGAAACTGGAGGCAAGACGGGTATGAAAAGGAACCTAAGAGAGCCAGGAATTATTTCAAGTTGGAATTTAGGGGGAAAAAAAAAAAAAGGTTTCTAACTGCCAAAAGAGAAAAGTTTTGCAATAATTTTCCAGTGGGAAGAGAAGGTGAGAAAAAGAAAAACCAACTGAATTTTAACAGGAGGGATGATCAGTTTAGGAGTGGGAATATTATAATATGGAATAATGGCAATTACAGAGCTTTCCTTCACGTTGAGCAAATAAGTTTTGTTCTTGCTCGTTTTGACTTTGCTTATTTTCAGTTAGCTGGTTTCGTTTGTCCATGGGATGAGGAAAACACCCCCTGAATCTTTGAGACCACCAGAAGCAAGCACTGAAGCTTTTGTGCTGTTCAGAAGCAGAATTTCACCCACCACGGACATGAAAATATTAGGAAATGCCACGATTTTGCAAAATGACACTGTCAAGGCAAATTATGGCAATTAATCCTTCTGTCCCTGCTGGAAAAGGATCAGGTTCTCCCAGGTCAGGTTTCCAGGAGGAGTCTAAGAAACTGTATTGTGTCCCATTCCGGTCCTCACACTTCAAGAAAGGTCCCCAAAAGGGACTTGCCAAGTCCTACCAAGAGGATGAAGTTCCTTCTTCACGAAGATCCACATGGAAAATACTCCTCCCACCACCCCATTTTAACACCTGGCTTTCAAATATAAAATCTTCAGTGATATAGAGGAACTCGAGCAGTTTTCCCCCATGAAACAAAAATTCCCATAACTAAACATTTAAGTTTCTTTACCTGGGCTCTGAGTTCCAGATATCCTAAATGGAGGTGAAGGTGAAGGAGGTGAGGTCACCACGCAGCAACAAAACAAGCCTCGCCCTTCACAACACACCTTTGTAGAGTTCATTTTGGGATGTTAATTGTCCTGTAGTACCAGCACTCCACACTGACAAGTCAATAATCCAACAGTGGTTAGATACAGTGAATAGTCACAAAAGCTGCAGCACAGGAAGTTTTTGTACACTCAGAAAAGCAAAATAAGGAAATTAGACAGGAAACACATTATGGACGTGGTAGGAAAAAAATGGCTCAAGGAGCACTGCACACTTGTGTCGATTTTAATTGTGTTTTGTTCTGAAGAACACAGCCTTTCTTGCTCCAAAATATAGTTCACAGTGAAAAAATCAAACAAAGCACTGTTACACTCAGTTGGTATTTACACACATCTGGAAGTAAAACCACCTGAGGGGGGTTTCTTCCCTCCTGGAACAAATGGGAACCACAACAGCCACTGGGAGTGGTGGCCACGCCCTGGCAGCATCTGCAGTTTACATTCAACAGGAAGGTTTCTTGAGAGCTAATTTGTGCCAGGGCACCAGAGTCTGGTTTCAGTAACTATTTACACCTCAAGTAGCATCTTTCCAGCAACACTGAGGAAGTTTTCAGGTGACCAAGGAAAGCCACATCTGCAAAGTGCATCAACACTTCAGGTAAGTCCAATCATCATGGAAGGGGGGGTTGTTTGTGGGATATATTGTACATTTGATATGTCAAGAGGCACCTTTCCCTCCAGGAAATTCAGTGCTGGTGAATGGTACCAAAGATTTCAATTGGAACAAGAAGCAAAGGGTCTGCAACAGCAGAAATTTTCCCCTCCACTGCTCTCCAGCTTGTCCTGCTCCTGAGCGTTGGCTCCAGGAATTAAGGGCCAAGTCCAAGTTTTCATGACTATTCCACCCTTGGATTCTCTTGCTGAGACCACCAAAAATAAATAGTGATAACAACGTGCTGAGGCCAAATCCCAATCCTAAGTGAAGTGGGTTTGTTCTCACAACAACAACAACAAGAGTTTTGTGTCCTGGTTTTAGCTGAGCTCAGGGCCTGGTCTCCTGTGTGCAGGATTCGAGGGTGGATTTGGTCATGTGGACATTTGCCCACGAGGCACTGGACTGAGATCCACCAACTCAAATTGCAGAGCACTGTAGGACAGCCAGGGAAACCACAAAATCCCGAAATAAACTCAGGAAATGCTTCAACAACAACAACAACAACAACAATGAAAATAAATTAAAAGATAAAAGATCCAAACACCTCTCGCTCTGGACTGAACCATGGCACGAAGTCTCCAGCTAGAGGCAGTACTTCAACATCTTTTATCTCAAAAGTTCTAATTAATTAATGCTTGAAAACTGACTACTAGTAGTGCAAAATAAAGCTTTTGATAATTTTTTTTTTTTTAATAATACAGTACTGCCAATATAATACTCGTGAAAGCCCACACTGCAGGAAACACAAACCTGATGGGATCTGCTCATTTAACTTTAGATTTCCAAAGTGGCCAGGCTGCCAAGTGCAGGGGAAACCTTCTCAGATAGCATTTATCGAGAGAGGAAGGGCCAATCCATCAGCTAAAAACATTTACAGAGAGCTGGGAAGAGGGAGACAAATTCTGCTCTCAGAGCAGCAAATCGGTGCTGTAGACTTGGGAAAAAAAAGGTGTCTGGATCATATAAATTCCAGCTTAAGAATTTGGAGTAAAATGGAAGTGCTTTAAACTCTTTACTGGTCCTCTGTGCAAGGGTAGAATTCACATGGCAGGGGTGTAACCATCTCGTAAGAGCCTAATCCTGTACCAGTGTGCCCTCAATCAAGATTTCTATTTCAAATTAAATTTTCACATTCATTTAAACTGCTACAGTCGAGAGCAGATCACGTCCCATAAAGCACTACACGTGTTGAGGATTATTACAATTAATATTCCTTTCACAACTTTCTGAGGCCTTTTCCTTCTCCTTTTAAAAATAAGTAAACTAGGATTATTTTTAAAAACCTCTGCTTAAAATGACATTAAAACTTTTCTTTTTTTTACTTAAACTAATAGAACCAGTGAAATTAAAAGCTCACACTCAGCTGACACTAAAATTCCAAGTCTTTCCCTTTTTCTTTGTGGTGTTTTTTTTTTTTTTTTAGTTTATGATCATGTCAATCGACACCAAAGAACCAGCCTGAATTTCGAATTTCCTGGTTACTCTTAGTTTCAGTTCCAAACTTCACATTTAAAAGTGTCATTTCCATTTTTATCTTTAATATATGCACACACACACACATATATATATATTTTATATATATATATATATATCAGTTCATGAGTCCAAAGTGAAATGAGCATTAGGATGGCTCTCGAAGCCTTTATGCTCTGGATAAAGACTCTTAAGAATTGACATCATTGACACTGGATTGAAGCAGGTAAATACCAGTTGTGGCTTCAACTACAAGGCAAAGGCTGAAAGAACATTCTAGTTCCTCCCTCCCCCAAAAAACCCAGTAAGACCATTGGTGCTTAAACAAACAGAATGTCCAAAAAGAGACAAAACTGCCAGGTGTGGGAAGTCCTCCGAGGTCTTTCCATTTTCCTTCCACGCCATCCCATTGTTCGGTCTCGTTGCTCATTGGTCACCAAATGCAGATGATTTTTACCTTCCAGGATGTTGTGCCAGATCCTCCCTGTGCCTCTGACAGGGCAGAGTCAACACACAGAAGTCCAAGAGGTCGCAGAGGCACCGCAGGCTGGGTGACAGCACCACCCCAAAACACCAAGGCCACGTTTGGCCACAGATGTGGAGGGTCCAAGGGAAAGATCACCCTGGAAAGGACTTCTGCTCTTGAGGTGGGAGGGAAGGGACAGTTATTTCTGTGATTCAAAGAATCCAAACGATCAATCTGTCAATCAATGCCAAAAAAAAAAATAGATAGGTATATCTCAACTGCAGGGCCCTTTTAGAAAATTCACAGCTTAGCTGGAACACAAACAATCTCAGAAGTGTCCCTGGGGGTGGAAAAGCACAGATGATCCCACTGCTCTTGCCTGGAATTCCTGCAGTGAGAGGCAGGTTCACATTGGCACAGCTGTTCCTTTAAGTCCACTGGGAACGTGTGACTGAATCCAGCTGGATTTTCTGGAGATCTTCCCGAATGGTTTGATTAACCCAAGCACAGCAGCTCCATCCTCAGACTCCAAAGAGAAACGCTGCAGAAATTCACGTGCCAGAAGACAGGGACAGGCTCAGACAGGTTTGTCACAGGAGGGGGAAGGGGGGGAAATTAGGCAAATCCAACCCAAAAGGGAAACCAAGTGGAAAAATGCCAACAGTCACGTCCATTCATGGACTGGGATCAGTTTGGCAACCGAGGATCACAACTGCACAGCAACCACTTGTTACTCTGGACGGACACGGATCACTTGCAGATGCTCTGAAATGGCAATAGTTGAGTGGGTGGGTTTGGCCTCTTGTTTGTCTGTGAAACATTCCCCGTTGATGGCCTTGAGTACAGCTGGGTATTTACAGTGACTGTTAAAAAGAGATATATACACACATTTCCTTTGCTTTGTCACCTCTGGAGGGGAGAGGAGAATGGAAAAGAGGGAAAGGAAAGGAAAGGAAAGGAAAGGAAAGGAAAGGAAAGGAAAGGAAAGGAAAGGAAAGGAAAGGAAAGGAAAGGAAAGGAAAGGAAAGGAAAGGAAAGGAAAGGAAAGGAAAGGAAAGGAAAGGAAAGGAAAGGAAAGGAAAGGAAAGGAAAGGAAAGGAAAGGAAAGGAAAGGAAAGGAAAGGAAAGGAAAGGAAAGGAGAAGGAGAAGGAGAAGGAGAAGGAGAAGGAGAAGGAGAAGGAGAAGGAGAAGGAGAAGGAGAAGGAGAAGACCTACACCACCACAACCAAAACCATCATTTCATTTTTTTTTTTTTCTGTTTCAAGGGACGTGTTTTTGGTTTGCTCATGCTGGATCTGCTCCCTCAGCTGCTCATGTCGCCAGGTTCTCTGCATTTATGCTGGACATCCGAATCTGAGAGCTGCTCTTGCTCAGAATGGACAGTTGTGTCCCCCCGTTCACTCCGCTGCTCGCTAGAGAAGGATGGCGATGTTTGAAATCCACAGCAAAATACCGGTTGACTTTCCAGCTCCTCCATTTTCTCTTTATTTCTGATTGCACCTTTAGGGAGAAACTTCAAAAGGTCATTTTTTATGTACTTCGCCGCTCGAGGACATGCTGACAGATTATCAAGATTAGAAAAAAACCCCACAATTCCACCGGACTGGTTTTTAAGGCTGTTGTTGAGCTCCTCACTTCAGCAAAATCTGAAGTGGTCTCTGCAGGGCTGCAAGAGGTCCTGGCATGTGGTGGGAACTACAGCCCAGGTTCTGTGTGTCTGACTTGAGGTAATTTAGGATCAGCCCAGAGGTGCTCAGAACAAGGGCCTGTTCGACACTAACTCCAACGTGAAGGAAAAAAAACACACCCTGTTTTCATCAAAGGCATAGAAAGGACCCAAAGAAACCAGCAAACCAAAGGTACTGGATAGCAGTGAAACAACCTGTCCACGTGGGCAGCTTGTCTTGGACCTGCTGTTCGTGTCTGGGGGAAACTTTGCCTCCTGCTTTTGCATCCCCTCCGAGCACACACCAGCTCTGGGGTTCACAGACACCTGAGACACCCTCCCTTTGCTGACAGGGCTTTATGGGCACCCACAGTGAATCAGCAAGAGTAAAATTACAAGTTCAGTCAGGGAAGAGGCAAATAATTCCACAGCTTTTGTTCTTTTCATCCATCACCAAGCTCCTGGTGATCCTGCTGGGTGAGTATATAGAGATAAAGCTGATATAAGAAAAGATCTTATGAGCTCAGACCAACATTTACTTGGCCTGTTGCTCATTCCTGACAGTGGCCTGTGACATATTTGTGACTGAAAAAAGTGCAAGAACAAGGAAATAGGTAGAGAGATTTTCCCAGTATATTTTTCTAGTCTTCAACGAGCTGCTGTGACAAAGATCTTCTTCCTGGCCTTAACAATCATTACTAGATTTTCCTGGACTAAAAGAAGAGTCATAATTGGATCATTATAAGCCAAAATGCTAAAGAAGTGCTTTAACTGCGTGGGCAAAAACTACAGGGAGGAAAAATCCAACTGGAAAACTTGCATTCCCTCTCTACTACCTCTAAATTCCTATTTTGGTTAATGTAAAAATTATAGATTAGATGGAGTATGGAGTTATATTACCCCTATAAACCAGAAAATAGTGTTTGCATCTTGCACAGTGTAATTAATGTATATACCAAAGGTGAACCCTTTCTTGCTCTCTGAAATTTAGTGAGGCACAAGATGTTTTTTTAATTACCATTCTCTGATGTCTTGGGAGGTAAAATGGCTTTAATTAACCTGGTTGTGTCGGTTTGGCCAAGAACAACCCCCCTACTCCTTCCAAAGGGTTCCAGGAAATCTGACAAACCATTCATATTATCCTGGGAGGTCTTCTAAAACCAGGCTGGTTTTAGAAAAGACCTCTTGGCTGTTGTTTTAGCACTCAGGGAAGGTGATGGGTGCAAGAGCAGTTGTAGGTGGGAGATTCAGATACCCAGAAACACCAGCTGGTGAATTATGAATACAACATTAATTCCAACAAGGCACGATCCAGATCTCACCCATCTACTTGGGACTGACTGAGCCATGGAATAATAATGCTCTCACAGCCCTGGGGGTCCTTTCAAAGTCATCTTGACTGAGCCCAGGAGCAGAAATGACCCCCAAATTTGTTTTGAGGAGTTTGGAGGTTGTTATGGTTACATCTGAGGAAGAATCACTGGGATCAAGGAGTTTGAGACCTTTTGTGCCGGAGATCAGCTCTGGCAGCCTAGAGATGAGCAAGCACAGAGCACCTGCTGCACTCAGACTCCTTGGAAAGAGGAAAAGGAGGTGATTTTAGTGATTTTAGAAGAGGACTCCTGTTGGACTGCACAAGAGATGTGTCTCAGGGGAGGAGGGAAAGGATGAGCTCTGGATATCCCTCTTAAGGCAGCCTCGAGGAGGGAACTTTTTTCCATGAGTTGAGAAAATAATAACCCCAGGTATTCAGCTGGATAAACAAAGGCAGAGGAATCTCAATTTGCAGATCAGAACAGGTGAATCAGAAGAAAAAAAAACAACTGGTGCGGGAAGCTGACACCAGCAGCAGTTGCCACGTGCTGAGAGGAGTGGGAGGCTTGCAAGGTACCTGGGGAGGGTCTGAGGGGGTTCCTGGCACACCTGGGGCCATGTGTGTGTAGGGACCAGCTGGAAGGTGGCAGAAAAGAAGCTGAAAGCACTTGGGTCGTGCCAGAAAGAGAGTCCAAGGGGCTTGTGAAAACTTGGGATTCAGCAAAGGGTTTTACTCTGTTTCCCTCAGCCTTCTCCTGGGTAAGCTGGTGAGATACAGGGTGGGTGTGTGTACCCCAAGATGGGAAGGAAGCCACATTCAGAGCGTGGTGGACACGGTTTTTCACTCAGGCTGGCACCCTATCACTAGTGGGGTCCTGCAGGGATTGATCCTGGACCCCACACTGTCCAACACAGAACCATGGAATGGTTTGGGTTGGAAGGGACCTTAAAGATCACCCAAATCCACCCCTGCCATGGGCAGGGACACCTTCCACCAGCCCAGGTTGCTCAGGGCCTCATCCAACCTGGATGTGAACACTTCCAGGGATGGGGCAGCCACAGCTTCTCTGAGTAACCTGTGCCAGGGCCTCAATATCTTCATGGCAGTCTCAGCCATGGGGTCCAAAGCACCATCACCAGTTTGCCTGGAGACACCAAACTGGGTGGTGAGCTGGGCGTGTCAGGAGGAAGAGTCTCGTTATGGAGAGGACTGAACAGGCTGGAAGAGTGGGCTGGCAAGAAAGGTGCAAAGTTTAACCAAGCAAGTGCCCAATTCCACCAAAGCAGTGCCAAATTCCGAACCTGGGGTGAGGTTTCCAAAGACACCAGTACAGAGCACAGTTAGGGAGGGTTCATCTGGGCCATCACCTCTGGCATGGCCAATATTTTGGTTTAATAAAGGCACCACACCAGCCTCCTTTTTTTGTGGGGTTTTTTTTGTGCTAAGAATTGTGAGGTTCAACCTAAAGTATCAGGGAGGATGGCAGGGGATGAGTTAGAGGGAAGGTTTAGGACAGCAGTTACTCCCACAAGGAAATGAAATGAGGGTGATGGGTGAGGGAGGTGAAATATTGAAAGACTTACCTCCCCATTCAAGAAACAGTAGAGAACAGCAACAACAAAACCCTGGGAGAGAGGGAAAGAAAAAAAAAAAGATTGCAATTTATATAAAAAATAATGTAATTTATGAAAAAAGTTAATGTAATGTAATTTAAATCCTGAAGGAATAACAGGAAAATAGCAGGAGTTCAAGCAGATAACCAACCAAGCAAACCCAAAATCCCACTGCACAAAACACCCACATGAGTGAACAAAGACCCACTCTGAGAACTGTGCATACAAAGTATCTATAAAAACCCAGATATCTCATTGTGCCAAACCCAGGATTCGCTGGATAATCACCTGGAAGGATCCCAGTCCCAGTTCAAACACCAGCCTCTCCCTCTTGCTGACGTTTTCCGGGGAAAAAGCGAAGACTGTGTAGTGAATTCCAAACAAGGGGATGAGCAGCAGCGTGGAGCGAGCCAGCCTCCTGTCACGACAGAGGGGAGGAAAGAGCTTTAATGCAGCCCTGCAGTAATCAGCTGGGGCTGCAATTAAAGAAGAAAGCATCAACTATCTTGCTGACTGACTTTTGGGAAATACACACACTGCAGGATTATACAAACAAACACACCACAACCCTGTTTGTTCCCAACGAGTGATTTCACACACACTGCAGTCTGCTCCCACTTCTGTCACACTGCTACGAGGATGGCACATTAATAATGATTAATGCTCTCTTCTCTAATTTTAATTTGCATTGTTGTAAGCAGGAATTTCTTCCTATTGTGCCCAAAAACGAGGAGGGGAACCTTGCTAAGGATTCAGGCTGCTACCATAGCACAACTATAAACCTTAATCCCAATGGAGTGTTTGAAACCACTTTTTATTATTACTATTATTTTGTGTGTGTGTGTGTGTGTGAATTTTTTTACTACATAGCAAAAGAATTCCCAAAGAACCATACAAATAAAGCAAAAAACCCAACAGCCACACAAACAAAGCTAAAAATCCTGTATGTTCTCCTTCTTGTACTCATGACTATTCCTCAAGGTCTTGATTTTGGTCTCATTTATACTGTTGGAAAGCAAAGTGCAATTCCACTCTTTAACTTCTTTCCACTGCTTTAGGATAAAGAGATTTCAGAGGGAAATCAGGCTCAGTAGATGTAAATAAAAGGGCTGGAAATAAATGCATGTAAGCACTTAACTGGTGAAATTCCCCAAAAACAGGGAGGGGGGCAGCAAAGACTTGTGCATGTTTTGGTCAGTGCCATTTGCTGATTGAGCAGTGAAAAAAAAGGCCAAAGAGAAAGCAAATGTTGATTTAAAAATAAGGAAGTGCTCTTTTAAAAGCAAAGTGACCTGAAGTCACCTCCAGGACATTTTCAAAGGGTTGGAATATCACTGATTACATCCCAGCAAGTGAAGAAGGCAGATGGAGGACAAAGGAAGGTTAAAAAGCTGTGGAGATTTTTCTAGGGGCTGCACACTTTTATGAATTCAAATGTTCACTCTGCTTTTATCTGTAGGGACACATTAGAATTTGCCAATTCATGCTCCAGGATAACCCAAAATGATGTGTTGGCCTTACTGAAAGTGAAAACTTCACTAAAACATCTCCAAGAGCTCTGAACATGTGACACTGTCCCCAGCACCTGTAAATGGGACATCAGGGCACTGCTGGTGTCTCTCAGTGAGACTTTGGGCATTATCAGAGATAAACACATCCCAACCCTTGCCTTGGGACTGCACTGAACACACCTGAGTCACAAATCTGATGGACACCAACCCTCAAGTCTCGGTGAAAGCCCCTAAAAAGCAGAGAACACAGTTCTTGGGAGTTGTCAAGTTAGACAAAACTGACCAAAAGTTGTTTTTTTTTTTTAAAAAAAGAGAGGACCAGCCTTGGAATGGGTTGATGCTCATCCAGAGTGTTCAGCTTTGGTGATGTCTAGAAAAGTTAATCTGTACAGGACTGAGCCGGTGTAATGGAATAAAAGAGCTTTTGGGGTCCCTTCTAGTCCTTTTTCTGTGTGGATCTGTACTCTGGTTAATGCAACTGAAAAGAAACACTGAGGAGAAGCTTATAGAACAATGTCATCTCTATAGTAAAGAATGTGTCTTAAACTAACCATGAAATTTAAAAAAAAATCATATTAAAGGTAGTTAACTGGACAAAGAAGTGTCATCTCTCAAAATCTGTTATCCTTTATATTCAGAATTAATGCCAACAATAACAACAGTACAAGTGTTGTTTTGATCTAAAAGTCAGAGTAGAATTGTCTGTGAGTGTGTTCTACCTCCCTGCACTCCTGGGAGGTTAATTTTGGGAAAGATGGAGAGGAAGTCTTTTTCTATTCTCAGAAATTTGTGGCATTAATTACACCTAATTAATCACACAATTGGTTTGTAGGATCTTGAAGTATAATGCCATAATAATAAAATTATTTGAGATGCTGTCTTCAGTACTGTCGTGGAAGTCAGGAAGCAAATTTGTTAAAGGTAAGAAGTAACACATTCTGAAGTTTGTAGATTATGAAGATCAATAAAGAGGAAAAGCAGATTTCAATAATGGGAAAAAATTGAGAGATATTGCTGACTGTAAGATGATGATGAATTGTTTGGTTTTTTTTTTTTTTCAAGATTAGGAAGAAAAAAGACAAAGCAATTTTGGTGAGACGTGTAAGTTTAGGGGAAATGAAAATGTTGAAGGAGACAGTGGAATTCTCAGGAGTGTAACAGCCAAAGATATTCATCCTCTTTTCTTCCCACGCCTTTTCAGACAGACAAGAAACTTGTGGGATGGATCTGAAAGCTCTGAGGACAATAAGCACTCAGTTAGGATTAAGACAATGTTCTCCAGAAGGTCTAGTGAAAGCCTTGTTTACATTCCAACAGGCAGAGAAAAACCTTAAAGTTATTTAAGAAAAAAATGCAAGTTGCATTTCAGTTCTCATTGAGGTTGACATTTTATTTTTCAGCTGTTGTTGGGCTTAAATTAAATTTAAACACGAGGTTTTTCCTATGGCTTGGCTATGAATGTGCCCTTTCCATGAAGTGTGGTGGTACAAACACACACAGATATTGGTGTCCTCTGTTTTTCTCACTCCTCTATTGAATTACGAAAAGATCTCTTGATACTAAAAGGAAAGGAAGGTAGAAAGGTTTTCTAACTTCCACCAGTATTTGAAGGAACCATGTTTTTATTTTTCCATTGTGCATCCACACTTATGGAAAGTACTGAAGTGTCTGTGGATACCACAAAAGACAAAACTGGGCATGAATTGGAAATTAAAATACACAGGACATTGCTTTGCTGAGTAGAATTTCCAGTTATTTCTGCTGAATATTTTAGTGTGTTTCTATTCCACATTTTAAAACAGGTTTCTAGAAGACTAATTAATGCTGTCATTAAACACAATAACTGCACATCAGATTCAACAAATAACATTTTGATCAACTGTGCAAGAGGGAACAAGGACCAATGGCTTCTAAATAGTCTAAATAGGTTCTTTCACCTCTAGTTAAAGGGATGTAACAAAGATATTTCTCCAGACTCAGAAACTGCAGATCCAAGTGCAAGAACTGCTGAGCTGGGTGTGTGACGATGCCATCTGAAAGGAGTGGGGAGCACCACGTGTCCTCTGCATCAGGGGACCTGCAGCTCCAGGAGGAACTAAGTAAGGAAATTTGGGATTATCATTCTGAGAGAGGTGAAGATGGTGGTTTAGAGGTTACTGTGCCATCAGTTCCAGGGATCTCCACTGCACTGAGGATGTGCCTCATGCTGTGTCTGCAGCTGCTTCTGTCGGCCCAACTGCAAAGTTGTGCAGCTCAAAAAAGCCACTGTAGCCTACAAAACATCTGAGATGACACTGTGTGCTCTTAAGCTAAGAATAACTTCTACTCTGGCAAAGAGCTTGTTGCCCTGATCTCAGAAATTCTCACCACCCAACTTTTTTTGGGGAGACAAAAGGTGACAGACTGCCCAAAGGAGCAAAAGATCTCCACTCCACAGACTCTGAAGAGAGATGATGTCGATGCTTTGCTATTTAGTCCTGCCTCTTTACAGTCAGAGAGCTGTCCAGTTTAAAAGCTGAGTCTTAAGTGGAATACTTGGATCAGATATAAACTTTTGCAATGAAGACATCAAATTCTGTAGTCATGTAAGGCAACATTCATCTCACCAGGGTTGGGACGTACATAAATGTAGGTATTGATCATGAAATTATTAAAATAATGTCTCTAAATTCAATGTGGAGAAAAATGCACTTTTAAGGCCTAGTTCTTGCCTGCTATGGGTGTCTCTTTAAGAAGAAGTGACTCCTGTTGTAAACCTCATAGATGTACATATTGACTACTTTAATGCTATGAGATATCTGCAATGATGCCATCTAATTTTAGATAAATTAAATCCACATTTACACTCCCTTCATTGCCTGTGAAGAGTAAGAAGCACTTACACACCAGGACAAATCACCTGCCCCTCAGGAAGTTCTTATCACATCCTAAATCTACCCACTGACCACAAAGGGAACCTGGCCCGAGTTTGCCCCATAAATTGCTGCCCTGTAGACTTGTGAAAGTTCAGATGAGAGGAATCCAGTTTTTCTGGCCAAATGCACACATCCGTCATCTCAGTGGTGAGCATGTGCAGAAAATAATCGTGACAATATTTCAGGTAGAAGGATAAAGAGCAAACAGTGAAGATAACATGATGGCATCACTGATGAAATGCTTGATACAGCTCATGCTTAATAAACTGAAGTATCTGTTTTATCACAAAGCTGTTAAACATAATTAACATGACTTTAGGAGCCTCAGGAATCTCCCTGACAGATATATGCTCTTCCCAAAATTAGGTCTGCAGGATCACTTCCAAAACACCTGAGGTAACACCTGAACACAGCAAGTGATTCCAGCTTTTTAATTTTCCCCTGCACAAACCAGATCTTCAGACTAAGGACTTGAAAAACAGGGCAGCTTACTGAGACTTCCATATTTTAGCACCAAAAAAATCAGGTTTAAATACCTCCTGTTTAGGCTGAACTCTCCTTGCCTTTGAGCAGGTGGAGCATTTCACCTGAGACAGCTGTCACTGTCCCATCTTTCTAAAACACTGCATTTAATGTGACATTTATTCATCTGCAAAGGCCCAACGTGATGTCTGTGATGCCTCAGGGTGTCAGCTGAGCAGTGAACTTAAATCTCCTCCTAAATGCAGGTCAGTTTTTACCTAACTGCTCTTAGCCTTCAGCTTCTCTCAGTGTAGAAGGTAAAGGTGCTAATTGTTCTTTTATTCTCTATTTTTATTATTTGCACAGTGTCAGTCTTTTGATTGACTCTTTTGAGCATCTTCATTGGTCTGTTTCTTAAGTATCTTGAGGAGATGTAAAATCACTGAGAAAATTCACTTTTGTGAGGTTTTTTCCTAGCTAAAAGGACATAACTAAATATCTATTTAAGTTACAAACCAACCTCTTTTCCTTAATGCTGTAAAAATAATCACTAAGGATTCCTTAATAAACCCTGGAGTGGTGGGTCTGATTTGAACTTATAAAACTTCAGTGAAATTCAGGAGACAGACCATCAGAAAACCTATTTATGATACATTTCTGAAAGATGCACCTCGTCTAAACACAATGAGATGATGGTCTTGGAGGTCTTTTCCATCCTTAATGATTCTATGAACCCACAACAACCTGTGGGCTTCTTGTGTGAAACAAGGGGTGAGGTGGACTGTGGAAAAGTGATTAATTCACACTCTCTAAGCTAAATGTCTGAATTTATTCACTCTTCTGGATGCCCCACTCTCCATGGGTGAATATTTGATAATTTGACTTCAACTTGATGATCTTGGTCTTTTCCAACCTTAATGATTCTGTGATTCTGATTGCTGATTAGACACGAGCTATTTTGGTATTGGGTTAATCTCAGCCTTTCCTCACCCCTGGGTGTTCACTAAAATAACTTCACTCAGTTTTATACCCCTCTATAAAAGATGTTTTATCCCCACTGAGAGTCTGATTGACTCAATCTTGCCTAGCCCATGTTTTTCTTGCACACTTTCAGGCAAAACATTTCCTCTCAGCATGAAGGTGCTCCCCTCTTTACTGGATAATAAAGAGCAGCTATTTATTATTTATTAACCCCAAACCATAAACAGCATCAGCCACAAGTACCAAAAAATAAAATTAAAAAAATACTAAAATAACCTTAAAATCCTCAATTGTGGTGCATCAGCAAAAGCACAGAACAAGAACAAAAACAAGAATTCTCCATGCAACAAGAACTCAATGAATGCTTGCTCTCCACTTGCTACCCCTCTGCTCTTATCCATTCATTTCATTGCAACATGCTCATACAAACACAGGAATGTCACAGGAGTGTGAACACTTACAGGGTAATGGTTGATAGTTCTGACATCTTGCAAGAGTGCTGGTTAGCCCTCTTAGGCTTACAGTAGCATTTCTGAACGCAGCTGCTAAATATGACAAGATTAGCAATTTTTTTTTAATTACTTTTTTTTCAATTTTTTTTGTTTTTTTGTTTTCAGCATCTCGTGAACAAGGCCAAGGAAGGTCACTGACAACACATTTCATGAGACACGTCACAAAGATGGAAAGCAGACACCACAGACAGCACAAACCAGCTGCTTGACCGAAGCAAAAAGAGAACTCAAAGGTCGAAATGAAAAGGCGCTGGCTTTGGCTGGCGATTTTACGGCAAGCCCAAAGTTGAACGACCTGAGGGCAGCGTGAGGCACCCAAAATATTTTGCCTCTGCAGCCTGGGGTTGGACAGAGGGTCACAGAACAATCTGCTGGATGGGAGTGGACTGCATGCTCGTGGAGGACAGTCAGGTAGGAACACGGACTCGTCGGATGGTGGGCAGTGGAAGGGGAAGGTGGGTCAGATGTCCCTCATTTTTGGGTGGGGTTACCCAGGGTTTGTGGATCCCTGCTTTTTAGCCAAGAGTTCTAAAGGTAAGGACACCCAGGCACTTCTCCCCCCATCTTCCTTGATGATGGGGAGGGAGTTCAGAGTGGAAACTGCAAGGCTGGCTGGCAGTTTGGACGTAGCACTAAGACAAAATCAGCAGGTGCATAAGCTGTGTGTAAGCACACCCTTGTTGTATCCCAGAAAGAGCTCCTATGGAGATTGGGGTGGGGGGAGTGTCACATTTACAACCAGCCAGAGAGAGGTTAATTTAAATCAGCCCCCAAGAAGGGTAACCTGAAACACGGGAGGGCGTTTGGAGGGATCTCCCAACAGATTTTATGGCTGTCACAACGGGCTGAAAAGCGTGAAAATTGAAAATAGGGATTTCTTGTCAACTCTAAACGGGAGATTTTTTGTTTTACTTTCAAGACATGGTTGTTTTGGTGGGGTTCTCCTCAGGGAAGATTGGATGTTTACAGTTCAAATGTCTGAGTAAACTTGAAATCCTCATCCTTTGAGAATCATCACAGAGAATAAATAGTTGAGAGAGAAATGCAGTTCTTGGCCAGGGTACATCCAACCTGTTTTAGATGTCCACTTTAGGATGGGATGAACAGCACACCCAACACCACTGAGTACCCTGACTGATCTCCATTAAATATAAAGGACAATATGATGATTTTTAAAGCAATTGCCTTCAGGGCAAACATCTAATTTTGTCCTGACAAATCAAACTCTGTCTCTCCTGCTCTGCTTAATATACACAGTCTAAGATTTGTGTTCACCTAAGCACAGATGGAAGATGGAGCTTGTAAGCTGAACAGTAAAACAGAATAAATTGAAAACACACTCAATTTCTCCCCACTTTTAACTCCTTTAAGTCAATCCTTGTTACTAAAGGGGTTTTTTTGTTTCTTTTTGGGTAATCAAAAACCGTGTTGTTCTTAAATATTATTGTATAAAGGCTGGAAATAATACAGTGCTTGTGGCATGCACTCATCCAGCAAATAGGAATCCTAATCATGTTTCAACTTGTAAAATGAATTCAGTTCTTGGATGATGCTCAGGAAGCAAATCTGAAAATAATTTTTCCTTTTACAGCATCACTTCTGGGAGAAATTTTTTGCCTCACCTCTGTTTTTCACAGAGCTGAGTCAGGGATTAATTGTCAGCTAAAACTGATCAAAAACCAAGGAGGGAAATTTTAGAGTTAATTCAATTTTACTATGACTGAGACTTTCGGAAGTGATTATGGGTTTTGAGCATCTCACTCAGTATTTTAATCACCTGATTGTTCTGAAATACATTTTCTCATACCAATTTTTACCACAAGAGGGCTGCTCAGCCTCAGTTGAGAAAAAGTACTTGGGAAGGCATTTCCAGGCACAGAACCTGAAAACAAAGCATCTAAAAATCAGTAGTAACTTTGAAAACTCTTAGTCATGGGTTGTTGTAGAGATTTGTGTTCTTCAATTATATATTTATTGTTGCCATGGAAATCTGGAATAAAATTCCCCCCCCAAGTTTACTTCTTGTGCCCTGTTTCATTTGACAGGGATTGATTGTTTAAATAATTTTTTCCTAGTGAAGAGACCAACATGACAGCAGTTGGTGTTTGCTAGAATTATCAAATAGGACAGGCTTGATTTTGAAATTAATGTCTAAGAATTAAGTTCTGCTCCCCACTCGAGGAGGGGACATTTCCACACGGGTTTGTGATGAAAAACTGTGAGCACTTCTTAGGAGAGTTAATGTTTTTTTATTTCCATCCTTTCTATTTTAGGTGTAATCATCTCTCTGATGTTAAATATCGTAAATTGGCCCAAAATCGTAAAAGTACAGATTTTATGGAAGTTTTCTTTCCTTCCTCCCTTTATAAATAAACTGGATTTATTTATTATCAAAATAAATGGATGGAGAGGGAGAAAGAGAGAAGAGACAGAGGAGGCAGAAACCAGAAAGGAATGCGAAGGAGGAAAAAAAAAAAATCAGACAAATAAGAGAAAATTAATCGAAATGAGACTACGGATATCAAAAAACACTGCATGACTCAGGGCAGGATCCTCAGACCCCTGTGGGCACACACAGAACGGGTTTGGTCACGTCCGACTCTCCGTGTTCGGAGACAGATCTCAACTGAGCTATCACCTCGGAGTCGCTCAATCATGGAAAGAACAGGGACTTCCAGGCTGAGCTGAGCTGTGTGACAGAGGCATCTGAGACACACGGGATGCAGTGCCTGACGGAGGTGCCCCCGGGCTCCCAGTTTGACCATAAGACGACGACTGGACCGCTTAGGTTAAATACGAGACTTTAGACAGCTAAAGGCAAACGAGCCGAGTCTCACCGCACGTGTCCCGGGCATGGACTGCAGCTGCATCTGGGAGGAAGAGGGAGGGTGCTAGGGTGGAAGGGGAAAGAAAAAGTTAAACATTCCCAGGGTTCAGTGAGTGATGTACCGTGTGGCTGAAGGCCACCGTATCAGACCGAACACCTTGACGGCCGGCGCGGCAATGCGGATGAGAGAGTGCACAAACCGGAGGCAAAAATAGTCTCAATTCAGTTCTAAAGGCTTTGTGGGTTCCTCAGAGGGACTCAAAGGGAAGTAAAACGAACATGCTGATCCAGGGGAATGAAGTTATGCTGCGTTATCCATAAGGAAAATGGTCAGGGTTCTGAATTTAGGTCTCTACCAACAATGGCAGAATTTGTGGCTTGTCTCCGAATATGCTGAAAGGGAATCCTTTGGGAAACACAGGAAAGGTAGAACTTGAGTCATGCAAATAAAAACTGTGCCTCATTAAGGGTCTTTGTGCTCCCTGCTCGAGCCATTCCATGTAACCTCCCTATGAACAGGATTGGCCACCATGCAAGTAGGAGGAGAAAGAATGTAGAAACAAATCAGTGAAATAAAGTATTGAAAATACAGTAAAAAGTTAACCAAAGGGAGAGTAGAAAGATTGTATGGGAGAGAGAGCAGAAAACTGAAAATTGCACCCATGTAATCCATTATTTATGTCACATACCTGCTGTTACCCTCAGCTAGCACTGCTACAGGTCGGGGGGACTTTCCCTTCTTACTCAGTAGCTGAGGAATTCCTGACAATGGACTTCTACCCTGGCCAATCAACCAACTACACTCACAAACCCTCTGGACTTACAGATCAGATGCAAAGAGTTTGGAAACCTGAACTTGCTCTGTGAGCAGGAAACAGACTCTGCAATTCCACCCCACTGCAGTGACTGTGGGTCTGACCCAGCACGTGCAGGTCGACTCATTGACCCCTCTCATCCACACACAGCCTCAGCTCCTCAGCAAAATTGTCATTTAGTTCCATCCCATCTAATTTTTGAAGTCACCAAAAACTGGGTGCTTTTCATCTTGTTACCCTGTGCCAGCTTTGCAGTCAGTGGTGAGGAACAGACCATAAATTGAGATTTACCTGACCTGTTTTAAACATCTTTTTTAGAAATTAAATAGGTTGTACTAAGGGTTTAATTCTCTGGACTGGGTAGATCTCTACTGACTGTGGAAGGAGCCCAGCACCATTATCTTATTAAACCACATGGATCCTGTGCTGTCCTGCTAAAAATACAACCACTGTTGTGCCATTCATGAAAAAAAAGAAAAAAAGAAAAAAGGAAACTGTTTCTCTAGTCTTTAACTGAAAACAAATCCAAAATTCTCACTCTTGCTACCCAGAGCTCTACTTTTCACTGCTAACACCACCAAACTTAGAGGCTCAATCTGAATTACTGCTTGCAGATCAATGCTCTGGCTGAAAAATGAATGTTTAACCAGCATGAACTCGGACAAGAGCTTTTTGTCCAAAAAATCTGACCTGTGAGCAGATCTGAGGCTTGAAGATGAAATGGAGTGGTCAAAGAGAGTCAAAAAATCACGTCTACACTGTTCATTCTCGGCTTTGCTGACTTCTTCATTAAAAGCTGGAGAAAGCCATTGGAATACTGAGAGCTCAACTATTGAAGAGATAAAGTTTAATATTTGCCTTTGCTCCAGACAATAAAGCTGGAAGCAGAGAGTAGAATGTTTCCATGAAAACCATCTTTAAATGAACTGTAGCTTCAGGGTTACATGTCCTGATCCTTCCTCTGCAGTGACTCTGGGGGTCCTGCTTTACCAAGCTGGGTTATTCCCATTCCACAGACACTGTGGGATAATCCTGCTGGGAGTGCAGTAATGTAAATGCAGTGCAGCAGGCAGGAGAATGTTTAATGAGAAAAAATGTACCACGGGAAATGAGATTCTTAAGTAGTTTTGAATGCAGCTTTGCCGGTTTGGGATGAGGAAGGTGCACATCCAAAGCCAGACGTGAATATCTGAGAGCGTGGTTTAGCTCGCTGTGCTCAAAACAAAACGAGCCCACAGAGGATTTATTGTCACAGCCTGCAACAAGGAGGGAGTTTTCAGGCAGGTTTTGGTCCTGTCAGCTCGGTGTTGGTTTAACTACACTGAGTTTAGATAATTTGCAGCTCTGAAGCTTCAGTTACACTGTTTTGACTCACCTGCCTTACAAATCACACGATAGCGCTGCAGTCAAGGATTCAAGTTATAAACCATCTCTACAACCCTCTTTAATGAAGAAAAAAAAGAGAGCACTGCCTTTGCTGAGAGAGCCTGGGCTTGAAGACATTTCACCAGCTGAACAGCTCCAGTGTTTTCACTGGAAATATAGAGAGGAATTTCAGTCTGGAACTCTCTCAGTAGTGACGCAGGTGGGCAGCAAATGAGGTGCTACGACTGTGGTGTGGACCTCAGGCACAACTTTGGGTTGGTCCTGTCCCTTTTCATTTGATTAAGCCACCTTCCCTGAGACTTAATTCAACATTAAGCCACTGTAAACTGCTGGCCTTTGAGGGTGTGCTTGTACTCTCCAAGGCAGGGAGAGTTTGTTCCTGGAGAATTAACTTTGCACCACACAGTTCCTTTTACACTCAGTGTTAGCTACAAGAACCTCACAAGAAGTTCATCCCTCCAGATCAAAAGACCATCTGCACTGGGACAGCACCATCTTCCTTGTCCCTTCCATACCTCAGGCTATGTTCTTTCATGGAGCACATCCTAATAACTCCTCAGATGTTAAACTGAACCACCTGGATGTGAAATCTGCCAGTTGCTGAAGTGAGGCACAATAAATCAATGTCAGGGAGAAGCAGAGACACTGAGGGAGATGTAAACTCCTTTTCTTTCTCATATGACAGAGGCAAAAATGTGAATGGCAGCAAAAACTAAATGGAAGACCACGGATGCTGTTGTGCATCGAGCTTTGATGTAAATTGGAAGCATGTTCAAGATCAGAGATGTCAGAATTACCCCCCATTTCCTGCAGTCTCACGACAACTGAAGCACAACCAGTTGCTTCAGCTCCACCTTTATCTTTACTCTGAGTAACTGATTTAAAGAATCAGAGGTGCAAACTGATTGAGGGAGAAATAAATGTTCAGACCCATCCCTTTCAGTCTGACAGTGGGTTCCAAACAGCAGACCAAGAGCAATGTGGGAGGGAAGGGGCAAACCAGCCACAGTGGTCTAATTTGGATATTCCCAAGTTAATTCTCGGTTTGAATCTTCTGAAAATGTTTCTCAGTCTCCAAAGCCATTATCTTTGAGGGTATGCAAGGAAGCTGCTCTGCTAAAAGACACTGCACCCACATCCAGGGGTAATTGGTAAAGACTCATGGCCTCAGGCACTGCATGTTCCCTATCCTGCCCATCTCCATGACAACTGAAGCTTATCAATACAGATCAAAGTGAGGTTACACACTCTGATGAAGTGCAGTGACTTCAGAACCATATTTGAGTTCCGTATCACATTTTCCTTACAAAAGCTGCCTGATTTTTGCTAATTGAGTGCTTGGCAACATTTACAAGGTTACAGCAAATTGAGCTGAGTGCAGCCACTTCCCCAGCACAGCAAAGGGCTTTTACTGTGCACATTGCTAAAGCAGTTGAGGCCTTCTGAACAGCAATGCTGGAACCATTTGAGATACACAGATAGAGAATTTCAGACAATTTGTGTGTGGGCAAAGCCCTGCATTTACACAGGCACCCCACAGACGTAAGCACTTCAGAGAAATCCCACTGGCTCTGAGTGCTGGGAGTTCTGTTCCGTGCCACTCATGGCAATCAAGCCACTGTGCTTTAGCACTGCCTCTGAAAGATGTTTGGATCTGAAATTTCCACATATAGGCCACCAACGTTTCCATGGGAAGTCTAAAGACAAGATTTAGCCTTTTTTTTTTCTTTTTTTTTTTGGTGCCTAAAATTCTTTGGAAACAGAGGCTGTTGGGGTTAATCCAACCCTGGATAGAAGTGAGAGCCCATTAAGCTTTACTGTGCCTTCTCAAAAAAATTGCAAAACCCCACTTTTATAAAGAGAATTACACTGTAGGATAAAACCTGGCTTTGCTCTCTCCCTCACTAACCTGCTCAACTCCTTGATATTTCCAGAGAAGGACCATCTTTTAGTGGCTTCTCTTTTAATGTAAAAAAATGCTCTTTTCCAATTCATGGCTTGCTCTTGGAACAGAGGAGGGGGAAAGTCTGTGCTTTGCTCTTTCAGAACACAACCTGTGGACAAGGAGCTTTGATCTCTAAGGCTGCCACAGATGGTGGAGCCAAGCAGAAGTTTCACCATTACACAGTTCTTAGACATGAAAGGCAGAGATCCAAATATCAGCTCTTCCATCAACCACAAAAATCAACCTCATATCCTCTCCTCTGCCTGTATATCCATTTAAACCATAAAACTGCCCATAAAAATACTCTACAGCCACCTGCAAAGCAGTGTTTAAAGACAAAATCATCCTATTTTTCAGTATTACTGCAAAGCAGAAAATAAGAGGAGTCAGCCTCCACTACCCAGACATCACCAGTGCTGGCCAAGGCACGTGGCCTTGCACTCTAAAATCCACCTTCTAAGGGTTTCCAAATAACAGAAGCAGAACACTTTTTATCATTGCATTCACCATGATCTTGTAACCACAAGAAATAAGTTTTGAGATCCATGATTTCAAACTCAGATCCTGTCCAGTGCTCATGTATCAATTGACATGAATGGACTTTCCTCTATAAATATTGATTTGTTCTTCTGGAATAAACAAAACCACTTTCAAGGGGGACATAGTTTTGGGTCTAATCTCATCACTGATGTAGGAAAGTAAAGGATGCATTCTGGATGAAAGGACAGTGTTTAGGTCAGGAAGGTAGATTTGACAATCAAAGATTCATTGTCCTCTACCTGCCACAGGCACCTGGGGTATTTTGAGTATCTCCCTTTGTGCATCTTACCCTCAGTTGTTCGAGGGCAATAACAGCTCACAGAAACCTTATAAACACACTGAATATTCTGTGCTGTTTGCTGTTCCAGCAGCTGACAC